AAAGGGAAAGGGGTGTTTTCACCAGCAAAGTCACTTTTCAAATACTGAGGTTTTCCAAATTAGATGTTGATGCACAACTTCTTTTTGCCCTGTCTTTGATGTTCTTCTGAACTTCAATAAGCAGTATGGTCATTGTTGGTTCTTTTGTACTCCCTTTATCAGGTAATGTTCTATTATTTGTTTACAGCTTGTTTTTTTTTCTAGGAAAACAATAAATTACCTTGTATCTGAACACATAATTTTACATAATCCAATTTATAATTTTCATGGACTTTTCTTCTAGGTGAATCTTGACCTGGGGTCATAGTTCACTGGAGGGGTAATTACATTGCATTTTTGAGACCCTGAATTCCATCCCCATATATAGGTGGATGACTGGATACCCTTGCGTAATCAGACAGCACTAGTTGAACCTCCTGAGATATTTAAAAAGAAAAAGGAAAAGAGAGCAAGCAAGTGGAAAGGTATTATTTAGTGAAGGAATGACATGGGGGAATAGGGAATAGGAGGTAGATTTGCATTTGACATATATATATATATATATATATATATGTGTGTGTGTGTGTGTGTTCCTATTCCCATGTACATCCATGTAAAATAAGAAATAAAAATATTTCAGCTAAAACTACATACAAACTTATTTCCTAATTTCTATTTTCTTCCACCCCGTGTTACTTATAAACATGAACTAATGAATAAGGGGGAAAATGTAAGTAGCAGTTTAGGTAAGACATGACAAATGCTCAATTCAAAGGAGCAAAATGTAAATGCAGAGAAGAGGGAAATGAGAGCCAAGTAGAATAGCTTCAGGGAGATGAATAACTGATTAGATGTAAAGGTGAACTTTTCTCACTGTAAACACATTACAGCAAAAGTAATGAATTCAATGTTAAGAATACTAAGTATGGAGAAAAATTAGATTAATAATTTAGATGCTAGCAAGAGCATTAAGGATGGTATGGCCATAGACTAGATTTATAATTTAGAAACCACCCATGTCATTAGACTAGATGGAAGAGTTACTAGCAGGTACCTGACAACCAAATTATTGGAGTACCTATGATATCCCAAGAGATTATTTGAGAAATAGTCACAGAGAAAGAAGGATAAAAACATATTTTAAGGAATAATGATGAGAGAAAAAGGATCAGAAACACAGAAGAGGAACAGAGAAAGCAGAAAACCACAACCAAAGCCTAGGAAAACACTAGAAGACCAAAATCTCACAACAACCAAATAAAGGTAGCTGTTGAATCAATCATAGTGGTCTCTAGCAATGAAGACTTGTGGGACTCTCAGCTCAGCAGTACTGGTGGAAGCTAGAAGTAATGGAAGATGACGTAAGATAGTGAGATCCAAAATTTTCAGAGAACAAGAGAATGCTTAGGAGAATCTTATCTATAAATGAGGAGAGATTGACTAATACAAAGAAAAATAAAAAACACGAAGCACAGCATATGATATAGAATATCACAACATAGCACTATGTAATAGAATACATAAACACAGAAAGTATAAGAGATGGCATGGATGGCATGAAGGAGCTGGAATACTTGATGATAAACTGAGCCTGGGTTACTACTGAGGAGCAGTAAATAAAGGTGGTGTGACATACAGGATAAAAATGGGTGGGTCTTCAGCAAGACCTAGATGGACTGTGGAGGGACCTTGTGAGTTTCAATCCAAAAGAGTGTCCTACTCATGACTCAGATGCTAATGTTTTCATCTAGAAAGAGTAGATAGCAGAAGTGAGAACTGTTGAACACAACATATAAATTAAAAGAGCTACTAAGAGAAGAGGCGTGAAAGCAATTAAAACAAACAAACAAACAAACAACAACAAACTCCAGCAAGACAGCCCTGGGAGCCTGGCTAGAATTCAGTTTCACTATATGCACACATAAGGGTAAGTGTAAGTCTATCTCTTCATCCATTTATCAACTTGTGGAAATATCTTACAATCCTTTCTCTCAGTTCTCTACACAGTGCATTATTATTTCCTTCAGCCTTGACATTGTGCTATAAGAAACACTTTTTAGAGATAGGGTTTCCCAGCTGATGACTGGTGACCCTCGTCTTGAAATCAAATTTGGCAGTTTACAGTTAGATTACAGTTAGACAGTATAATTACAAAGAGTTGAAAAGAAAATAATTTTATTCATGAATTTATCAAACATGAATTATGAATGAATATTAGTATGAATGATCATTTTTCTATGTGTCTTTAAATTTTGTGTGTGCCTAGAAAATATAGCCCTAGCTTTGCTGTTAAACAAAAGTGAACCAGAAACTAGGCAACAAATTCTATGAATAGCTCTTTCTAACACAGTGTGACCTGTTGTTATAGGAACCAAGGGATGGTTTGGTGAATCACAGGAGGGACCACCTTCCCAGGAATAGTCAATGAATTTCTAACTGGATAATGATTTTGAGTATGAGAGAAACTCCATGAGAAAGTAAGTAAAGAAATAGTGATTCACATTCTATTTATATGAAGATTATTACATACCAACACATGTTTATTTTTAAATGTTCAGGCTCTAAAGTCACATCTAAACATTGGGAGTGAGGTACCACAATGAGAGAGAACATGTGGTATTTGTCTTTCTGGATTGGGGTAACTAATTACACAATATTTTCTAATACAATCCATTTACCTGCAAGTTCCATGATTTCATTTTATTTACATCTGAATAGTGTTGGGGTATGTGTATGTACCACAACTGCACTGTACTTACCTTACTTGAAGAAAATTTGGGTTGCTTCCATTTCTCGATTTTGTGAATAGGCTGGTAATGGGCACAGACTGGGCAATAATCTATGCAGAAAGATCTTAAGTTCTTGGGGAATATGCCAAAGAATGTTATAACTGGGTCATGTGGCAGATTAATTTTCAGGTTTTTGAGAATTCTCCACATTGACTCTAGAGTGGCTGCGCCAGTTTGCAATGGCACTAACAAAAAACGGTGAATGAGAGTTCCCCTTTCCCCAAACCCTCAGCAGCATTTGTTGTCCATTGTTTAATTGGTCTTTGCCATTATGACTAGGAAAAGATAGAATCTCAAAGTTGTTGTGATTTACATATGCTTAATTACTAAGGATGATGAACCTTTTTGGAGATTTTTCTTATTCGCTTTTATTTCTTTTTGAGAACTCTCTGTTCAGTGTTATGGCCCACATTTGAATTGGATTTCTTTTTCTTCACTTGGGTGTTTTTTGAGTTCTTTATAAATTGTGAATATGAATCCTTGTCATCTGTAGATCAGGCAATGTTTGTTTCCCACTCTGTGGGATTCATCTTTATCTTGTTGAGTATTCCCAAAGCTGTACAGAAGCTTCAGCTTTATGTGCATATACTCTGAAGTAACCACCAAAACCAGGAAAGTAAAAAGCCACTATGGGACAGAAGAACTGCTGGACAGCAAAATAGCAAGATTCAAGTGATAGGAAGAGAGAAATGGGAATAATGGGGAGGCTTTAACTGGGTCGAAGGAGTTTAAACAATGGCAGGGAGGGGATGGAAAATAACACTAAAGATGTTTGAAAAAGCCATAAGACTCATACTATTTTTATTTGTCGAAGAGTACAAACAATATAAATTCACTTGTATACATAGATTGTATATATTATGAATGTTATATGTAAGAATTATACATATTTTTAATGAAGTTATCTCACTTGGGCTGGCAGTGCTCCACTCCAAGAGTGATAAACTAACATAACCCCCAGTACCAGGCATTCAAAGCTTCTTTTGAGTTGTTGATCAGTAACATCTAAGAGACTCTTAGAACAGACAATATAGGATGTTGCTATTGCAGGTTTTTGGTAAGTCCCTATTGCTGATGACGCCTGTTCTTAGGATGTAGAATTTAATTACATCTGACCCATGAGCCTTCTTCCTGAGGACTAGATTTCAAAGGAGTTGAATGTGACCTTAAAACAATCAAGGAAGGTGTAATGATTTGAAAGAAAATGCCCCATAAAGGGAATGGCACTATTACAGAGCATGATCTTGTTCGAGTAGATGTGGTTTTGTTGGAGGAAGTGTGTCACTCTGGAGGCAGGTTTTGAGGACTCATATATGATAAAGATACCACCCAGTGTTGCAAAACACTGCCTGTTGTCTGTGAGTCAAGAAGTAAGAACTCTCAGCTACTTCTCCAGTGCCATGTCCTCCTGCATGCTGCCTTGCTTTCTGCCATGACGACAATGAGCTAAACTTTGAAGTATAAGTGAGCCACCCCAATTAAATGTTTTTATCTTGATAGATGCCATTGTGAGATTAGGGAGAAACCCGGTGCTAGAGAAATTCTCAGGAATCCACAAGGATGACTGCAGCTAAGACTCTTAGTAATAATGTAGAGGGTGTCTGAACAGGCCTTCCCCTTTAATCAGATTAGCGACTACCCTAATTGTCATCATAGAACCTACATCCAGTAACTGATGAAAGTAGATGCAGGGACCCACAGTCAAGCTCTGAGTAAAGCTCATGGTCCTGCCTCAACTTGGCATGCCAGACTTTGTTTATTCTCCAAGGAAGGCCTTAACCCCTATGAGGAGTGAATGGGGGTGGTAAGGGTGGGAGGTGGGCAGCAGGAGAAAAGGAGGAAGGAGGAACTTGGGTTGTAAAATAAATTTTTTTAATTAAAAAAAAGAGTTGGTTTGGTCATGGTGTCTCATCACAGTAATAGAAACCCTAACTAACTAAGATATAAGGAAAATAACATTTTCTATACATAGATGCTGATAAACCACACAAATGACCAGCATAGCAAGATGCCCCTAAAGGTACAACACTGGTACTCATATATTGGCAGTAACCATAGCTGTGTAATCAGATGTATGGTTCACTCTACAGGAGGGAAAGCACCTTACTGGATACTAACCTTATGGATCCTAAAGGAGAACTCTCTACTACCTCCAACTTTCTAAACCCACATAAATCATAACTTCATTATAAAACCTTATCCTTGTATCCAGATACAAGTGAATCTCTTGGCCTAGATTAAAATTTTATTTGGAATGATAGAGACTATTACAAAAAATTATAAATAGTCAAAACGCAGAGAACAATTGATTGTGGGGTGCACAGATCAAATGGGTGTGTCAACAACATAACTCTTGCACATATGGCTCAGGGAACATTGCAGAAGAAAACAGAAAGTTTATAAAAGCCAGGGGTCCAGGAAGTCTGCTGTGAGATTGCATCTCCTGGAAACAACAGGGAAGCTATACCTATGATAGCTTCCAATATTGCTCACCAATATTGCTTCCTAAACAAGACCTGAAGAATAACATCACCAATAGACATATTAAAATGGAAGGAGGAAATTTCATGGGGTCCCAAAGTTACCCAAAGAATGACAGACAACTAAGAAATGCTGAGATTGGGAGAACTAGTCATTTCCCAGAGAGAGTTACATATACAATCAGAATAAATACATAGTAAGCTCTGAAATCGTGTACACACAAGCAACACTAAATTGACTCGGATGACTATATTGAAGTATTTATGCACTTATACACATATATAAAAATAACAAAGAGAAAGATGCCATTCATTTAAGAGCAAAAAACGAAGGAGGTATATGCAAGCAGTAAGAGTGGGGAAACAAAAGGAGGAAATTTTGCAATTGCATTTTAATATAAAATATATTTTAAAATTAAAATGAAGTCTTGAACAATGAAATTGGTAATTTTTGCAACAAGCTTCCATAAAAACAGAATGTTGTTTGGTGGCAAATGCTGACGGCATCAAAATGCCTCAGGCAGAGAGGTGTTAATGCTCTGCATGAAATGGAGAAGACCAAATAAAACCATCTGTCAAAAACACAGCTTTGTCACAATGACAATTTGTGATTGAATTTACTCAGCAGACTATCCAAGGCTTCATGTTCATCAAGGTATTTCATTTAAAGTATCATTAAAGTGAAATTAAGTTGCTATTAACCTTGTCTATTCAAATGATGCCACTGAACGAGTAAACACACTAGTCTGGCATGCGGGGAGATGACATGATGAATTGATATGTGTCGCATGGGGGTGGACGGAGCTCTTTAAGGAGTGATTACCTGTGGCATGAGTGTATCAATTGTGTTTGTGCATGTCAAATGGAGCTGGCAAGGATGGACTTGAAAAAAAATCAATCATGGAACTTGCCAGGATATCAGTCCCTCACTTTCACAGACACTAAATCATAATCTTAATGTATCTAAGGAAAATTTAGAGTTTGGGATGCACTAATCTCTGTCAGATACTATGTACTATTTGGCTTGGCAAATCATTTCCTGTCTTCTCCAAAGGTAAACATATATCGAGATTGTGATTTGTAAAGGACAACCAGTGAAATAGTCAAAGACGTACACTCTTCCAACAATCTCCATATGTGCATGATAAAGTCACTTCTTGTTTGCTTTTGTATCATTGGAAAGCCGTATTTGAAATGTGTACTGGCTAGTTTTACATCACATTGGCACAAAATAGAATCATCAGAGAGAAGGGAACCTTAATTGAGAAAATGCATCCATAACATCCAGTTGTAGGGCATTTTTTCACCTAGTGATTGATGTGGGAGGGTCTAATCCATTGTGGCTGGTGCCATCCATTGGTTGGTGGTCCTAATTTCTTTAAGAAAGCAGGCTTAGCAATCCATGGGAAGCAAGCCACTAAGCTGCACTCCTCCATGGCCTCTGCATCCTTCCTTCAGGTTCTTGCCCTGAGTTTTTGTCATGACTTCCTTCAATGATGGACATTGGTGTGGAAGCATAAACCAAATGACCCCTTTATTCCCCAAGTTGCTTTGTTCATGGTGTTTCATCACAGCAATAATAACCCTAACTAAGACAAGGTGGATGGATATTCTCATTCTTGCTTGCCTTTTATTCTCTTTCTAGAATAAAAGAAGTTATTCATTTATCTTTTTCTCCATTTGAGGCCTATCATTAAGTAGAAGTGTTGAGTAGAAAAACAGGGAAAAGATTGTTATTTTTGTAGAACTTTCTCCAGCAATTAGAACTGGATACACAGATAAACATACACATATACACAGACAATTGTGTTTACCAAACACTTTCCTATATAGTAAAGTCCAGGATCTGATAACCCTCAGGGCCTATGTGATAATATTATTGAGACATGGTGGAACTTTTAAGAGGTAGGACTTCATGAGAGGTCTTTAGGTCAATAGTTACAATGCCTTCAGGGAAATTGTGGGACTTCAGGCTCCTTCTCTTCTTCTATTTAACCTCCTGGCCATTCATTGAAAAGTTTGCTCTATTATGTATACATATACAATACATGCTTACATATCATGGTGTACTATCTTACCATAAACCCAAAAGTGACAGGGTCATTCATTGTGAACTGGAACCTCCATTACTATGAACCCAAACAAACCCTTTTCTCTATGGCGATCTTGGATATTGTAATGATGGAATGCTGACTGCTGCGGAAGAAATGGTCTCTTGTTGATGGGAGAAGTGCTTCTCTGTGTTTGTCTTACTGGATGATAAATAAAATACTGTTTGGCCATCCACGCAGCGGGCAGAACTCGGGTGGCTGGCGGAGACCGCCCACGTGGCGGTAGGGCTCTGCGGCTTTTGGCGGAAAGATTTATTGTAACATTCTGTACTTCCTTTAAAGGGAAAGAGAGAGTGATAACATCTAGATCAGCTTCACAGAGCCTTGACCAGCAATCCACTTCTAAGCAGGCCTCGTGCTATTTCTTCCACATAGTAAAACAAAGTTAGTTCAGGGACACATGGATTTATAGTAGCAACAGTGCATCATCCGCTTCATTGCTTTCATCTCATCCATCTCCAGGAAAAATAAACGTTCTCCTTTTATTAATTTAACCACAGCAGTAGTTTGAGTAAATATTTACAGAGGATCCAAAGCACTTTATCAAACCAACCAACTGCTCATCATGCCTTTTTATCCACACTGTGTGATACTATTTCCTAAATTAAAAAGAGTATCTACAAAGTGGAAGCTTTTCTGTGCTTATGTGGGAAGTGATTCTCCTATGAGGAGGCTGTCCTGGGAAGATGAGGCTGCATGGGTATTCTGCCTTACATGTGGCATGAAGTCAGGACTCTGATGAGAGTAGTGGATCCAAGTGCTCACCTCCATTCATGCAGAGTGTCCATCGTGCAAATGCCTAGGTGGGTCGAGTTAGCATGGGATGGTGAGGGATGATCTTGGAACATTTAGGAAGGGATTTTGTTAGGTCCTATGGGTCTGGCACTGAAGGAGTACTGACTCCAGACTCCCCTCCTGTTAGCCTTTGCATCTGTCATGAGGCAAACAACCTTTGTCTCCTTTGTGGTCCTACAATGACATTTCAAGGGAACTGGGACAAATGATGGTGGGATAGAAGCCTTCCAAAACTGTAAATCAGAATGAAGTTTTCCTCTTTTACAGCTAATATTCTCATTGATCTTATTACAATCACAGAAAGATAATGCAACCTTAATGACTGCTAATTTCAAAATGTGATTTTACACTTGGTATTTTTTTTCCAATATTCACTTTTAAATGGGAGGTATGACTGGCCAGACAGTGGACAGTTTGTCAGTGTAGACACATGACTTAGGTAAGGATATCCTAAAATAAATTGCATTCTATGTATTTTCTTTTTACTCCCTCATAGAGTAGTTATTTTAAATACAACTAAAATGACATTGAGGTTCTTCCTTAAGAAGAGAGAATCCAGAAAAATAGTACTTTATTGAACATCTAAGGACAGGAAAATGATAAGTATTTCTGGAGAACAGTTTCCTGTAATGTTCTCTTTAATACCACCACAAGAAGATAGAAGAACTGGATAAAATCAACTTGTTGAACTAGCTGAAGGTGTGTGGAGGCTGAATTTATTATTGAATGTTACAAAGAAGACAACTGAGCTTTTAGATGCTCAGCATCTCTCTCTTTTCTGTCATCTTAATAAATTTCATTGATCTCTAAAGATGATAGATGGAAGATGATAGCTGCTATCTTAGTGAAAAATTATTACTCTGCATTAACGTATATTCTCATAATTCTAAGGAGTGCTTAAGAGTGGGTCAAACTTTTCTACTTCAATTTTTATAAAGTGACAAAATTCATTTTTGAGAAGACAATTATGCAAATAATTTGTATGGCTTCATTTTTCCTTTGGTCAATATGTGTTCATGGTTAAGATGGGATTTGTTTTGTTCTTACCATGTACTAGAACAGTGGTAAGCAGACAATACAGTGTGAGTGTCTATCTCACTACACATTTTCAAGGTGTTTTGCAAGAGGTATAAAACTTTCTATATTGCTAAGGCTGAACTTGAACTTCTGATCTTCCCAACATCCACTGAGAGTGTACACCATCACACACAGAAACTGCAAAACAATTTGAAAGTGAAATTATTACTGAGCCATGATAGTCTTTAAGGCTTCCAGTCAGTATTATCAATCTTGTCTTGTTGGGTTAGTTCTAAAATAACAATGAAAACTGAATAAATCAAAAATAAAATGCAAATCAAGAATCTACATTGATACTGATATTCCAGAAAGTTGTACGGATAGGTATTTGCTAAGTATTCCTGGTTTCACTTTCCTTTACACTTGGGTAAGAATAACACCAGCAATATATTCTCATTAAATAATGATATATTACACAAGTAAAATGTTCATTATAGAACATTTAAGAAATGCATCGAAGCATTAAAAAAAAAAATCCCCTGTAATTCGTTGTCCACCTGACAGCTTGTGTTAACTTCCTGCATTCTTATGTGTTTCTAGTATTTTCCTCTGAATTGCTTTGACACAATCCAAAAAAAAAAAAAATGTGGCATTCTCAGTTCCACATTATTTAAAGCAATTCAGTTAATTTTATTAAAATTATTATGATAGCATTTCTTATGCCATTGAAAAATCATATAATTCAGTATTGACTCTCAAAGAAAGAAAAAGGTTATTTGGGACAATGCTTCAGTAAGTAATGAGTTTTGAGTTGAGTATGTGTGGGTATGTGTGTGTGTGTGTGTATGTAGTATGTTACTTTCATTGTGTAGATACTGTATTCATCATAGGTTGAAGGCGAAAGTTATTTTAAGATTGGGGTCTGTAATATGCTGTCATCAGGATAAACAAATACTCTATAGTAATACATCTATGTTTATATAATATCTCATCTACATTCTATCTACAGTTTATTTCCCATCTGCAACATCCTTTTTACATGTGAATACCTGTTTTCTCATTTGAACAGCTCTGCCTTTCTCATGTCAAATTTTAAACTACATAAACTCACTATTTTTCCTTATAAGCACAAGCACTAAGCATTTCTCCTAAAATCTTATATGGGCAATTAATATTAATTCATGTCAATTTTTGTAATGGTACCCATTTTAGAGATTATCAAATAACTGTCCTGTTGAAATTCTGAACTCAATTAAGTCAGTGAAGTTTTGATCAATCTAAGGATCTGTTGCTTCTGTCTTTCCCAGTTCTCACCTAGTCCATTTCTTTCCTTGGTCTCCCCATCTTCCTTCTTCCTACCCACCTAGCACCTTATTCCTGCATGGCCTTCTTCTTACCTACAGTTTTCTGTTAATTTCTTTTCTCTTCCCAATTTTACATTTATATCAAATTTCTTTGAATTCATTGAGATGTGCAGGACACTCCTTGCCCAATCATGGTGCGATTATCTTCAACAGCAACCAAAAGGCATTTGGCTATTTCAGTAGCTTCCAGAGATCATTTTGGTCTAGAAATGAACAACACACCCATGTCTCTGTGACAAACAGAATATAAAGAGAACAAGAATAGAGCTGAAAACCTTCAGCAAGTTTGCAGAGCCAGGAAGGTGCTCATATCTGAGAATAGAGATTCCTGTCAGTTTGCATGGCAATGCAAAACAAAACAAAACAAAAAACAAAAACAAAAAAACCTTAAATGGCTTGGGAACCATCAGTCTCTTGTTTGTAAAGTATTCATGAAGGAGAATTGGGATGAACTGCTTCCATAATATGATTTCAGCTGCCTGCAGCTCTCCACACTCAGCTTGGCCTCTCTTGCTACCTTTGACATGGACATATTCTGGACATTGTAGCTATAGGAAGCATGTTTGAACCTGGGATTAAAGTTGGAAATAACAGTCACCATATTGGGTGTTGGTGGCACACCAGGCGTTGGTGGCACACACCTTCAATCCCAGCACTTGGGAGGCAGAGGCAGGCGGATCTCTGTGAGTATGAGGCCAGCCTGGTCTCCCGAGTGCCAGGATAGGCTCCAAAGCTACACAGAGAAACCTTGACTTGAAAACAAACAAACAAACAAAAAAAAAAAAAAAAAGTCACCATAATGCCTTTGCCTGTAAATGGATGGGCTGGTCGTTGAGTCCTCCTTATAACTAATCAGAATGGCCACCAAAGGTCCATTTTCAAAATAAGATCTTCAAGGATGTGAGTCATGAGGAAACAACTACAGAAGTCCGAAAGAATTGGGATCACTGCACTAGAGATTGTTCTTGAATAATGGAAGGACATCAGAAAGAGTTGCTAAAAAAGGGCCCAAAGCACTTTGCATTTGACATTGGCACATCTAATACCTTCATCCAGAAATAACAAAGTCCTTTTGCCTTTTCCCCATGGGATGAGCTGAGATAGCTGCCTGGTTTATTCCAAGCACTCTTTCCAAGCTACTCTCCTACTGCCAGCTGGCTTTTATCTTCTGTGCCCCGCCTCCAATGTAGGCAGACACATTTTTTATTTCTTTGTGCTAAATGTCAATTTTCTTTATCTCTCATGATTTTAGTGACTTTTCTTCGTGATTAACTGTTTACAAAAGGTGATGAAGTTCTAGTTGGTTGTCTATTAATTTCCCCCTCCTTCACAGCTTTTTTCTTTTTGGACAACTCCCAGTTATTTGGAATAAAAGGCACACTGGATATTTAAGACTATAATATCAATAGGAAAATACGCTCTACTTGATTCTTCTATATAGCCAAAGAAGGAGTGGAGAAAGCACAGCCATACAGCAGGTCTGATAAGTGGGTGCGCTGCCTTTCAGCTAAAGGGGCTTCTTTCTCCAGCTAATTTCTACTTAGAAACAAAAGGGTTTTCAGAGAGTAAGGAAGAGAGGGGAGTGAATGATGCTGCAATTTGCATTTTTGCTCACATAATATTCATGTTCAACTGACTAGAGAAAGGTTCTCTATTTTTCTGACTACAAATGGAAGCACCTGTTTAAAAATACTTGAATCGATTTTTATTCACAATTACTATTTTTCTCAAACTTGCCTGCAATAGTCAAAGGGATAAATGTGAAAACTTACTTAGTTTTTCTTTTTTTTGAATCCGTACTAAATAACTTGAGAGTGCAGCATATTAAGAAAGAACATTATTTCAAGTACCCTAAGGAGTAAATTCTAATGCAAGCTCTGTCATTAACTGTGTATTATTAAGCAAATCGTTTAAACTCCTTTGTCTCCATTTTTTTTGCCTTTAAAATTTCGGTTTTGTATTGGAACACTTGAAATTTCCCTTTCAAATTTAGTCTCTTACTTTCTTGCCTTTCTATCCCTCTTTTTGTTATCCTTCCTTTATTTTCTTTCTTTTAAAATCTCCATCCTCCTTCTCTTTTCCTTCTTTCTCCTCCGTCTCTTCTCATCCCCCTTGGTCTTCCCTGAGCCACACCATGTCGGGGAAGCTGGGGTAAGAATATTCTTGCTTTGTTGCCCCAGATGGAAGAGGCTTGCAGAAGCCTTACCCATCCAGCTACCATGTAGGCATCACTGCTGCTTTTAATGAATGTAAATATTTGGAATAGAGGATTCCTGATTTCTCTAGCAATTCTAAATATGTTACTGACATTGCCTTACCCAACACTAAGATTGAACAACTCCCTTTTCCAATCTATGGCCCATCCTATCATGGACAGAAGACTCTTTCACAGGAATATCGAGCGCTCCTTGCTGTATTCTTCTAGCAGACAACTAGAGAGTTCTGATCATGAGAAACCTTTGGAAAAGGACTTTCATTTAAAAAGACAAGGAGGCTGGAGAGAGGGCAGAGTATTTAAGAGCACTCACTGCTTTTGAAGAGTTCCTGGGTTCAGTTCCCAACACTCACATGCTAAATAACAGTCTCCAATACCAGAGGTTATAATGCTGTCTTCATGGGTACCAGGCATGTATGTGGTGCACATACATACATGCAAACACAACCTTCATACATGTAAAAAAAAAAAAACCCAAGTAAAATCAGAAGAAACAGAAATAAAACTAGAGTCTTCCACTCTCTCTTTCTCTCTCTTCCCCCTCTCCTCTCTTCCCTTCTAATTGAACTCCAAATTTCATCCATGGCAGGCAAGTATCCAGTCACTGAGCTGTATCTCAGCACACCTTAGGCTTCTTGAAGACATGGAAACAGTTCTATTGTTTGCATCTCTTCCTGAAAAATAATTCAGTATTAGACACCAAGAAAGCATCACAGAAGTCAGTAGATGTGATAGATGCCTGGACATTAGAAACAATGTATCTTAGACTGATAGATTTATTGCTGTGAAATATTCCATTTGTCCTCTTCTCTGAGGAGAGTAGCTATGGTTTTTTTTAAGCATCTGCTTATTACTTTTATTTGACTTTTGCCCCTTTCTTCCTTTTCCTCCTTGAATAGCTTTCATTTCCCCTAGTTCTTTTTCTGTCTTTACAAAAGGAATCAGGCAAACTTACATGTACTGGACATGTTACCTATTCCTCTGCTAGGGATAACTACTGTATCTGAGTCTCAGCTCCCTTCTGCCCCGCCCCTACTCCTGCTTTCTCCTCCTTACTCAGCTCTGCCACCAGTAACTTCTAGAAGCCATGCTCCAGGACTCCAGCTGAGGTGCCTTCCTATGGGTCAGCACAGCACTGTCTTTACATTTTGCCAGTAGCACTTATCACACCTAACAGGATAACGTCCTTGTCTCTAGTATCCCCTTACTGTGAGTGCTGACAAAACAGAGAATTTTGCTGACAAGTCTTGATAGTGTATGCTCCTTCCTACCTGGTTTCTCCTCTATAAAGGACATGGTATACCATGTGTCTGCACAATGACCATGTTTGCTACTCTCCAATCTTCTGATGGCACAAACTCTCCAGGCATTCATTTGAAGCCTATGTTCTTGCTCAATCTTTTTGTCATCTGGCTCCTAGGCCTCAAGGACAGGAGAGATGCTGCTGATCTACCTGCTCTCACTGCCTCAATCACAGATGCTTTCTTGGCATCCAGTTGTCCATAACAATTAAATGCACCCTCTTGCTCATTTCCTGAGGCAGCGCTAACCTCTCTTCCACTGCATTAAAGTAATGTTCACTTTCTGTGCAAATGTACAAGACTTGTCTCCCCTACAAAGCAGCCATGTGATTCTTCACAAGGGTATATTTACATCTTTTCAACTCGGCCTGACAACCTTTCTACAGTCTCACTATGTCAGAAAATATAAATCATTACAGGTGGGGAAAACATCTCTGACTATCCAGATCATTGGTACACCAGAAGACTGTATGGAAGACTGACTGGAACTCATGGCCCTGATCATTAGTTAAAAAAGGAGCGATCTCAGGGATTTCAGGTGTACACTGTGTAGATAGATAATGGGATAAAATGTGATTGTTTTCATCTTTTACTTTTGAGTTTTCAATTTAAATTGGCTCATTTTTTTCAACTTAGTGACGGATCAGATGCATTCTCACATCTAATTTTGCTACACTAAAGCCTGAAGCTGGGAAAAAAAATTAGGATTGCTACTGGATGATTTCTGCTAACTCAAGCCTTGAGGGATTGCATAATGAATTCAATTCCAAGTACTGCCACAGTGTCTAATAAAATATACCTGTAATAGACATGAAAAATGTTTATGATAAGATATAAGCTCCACGGACCCCTTGACACTGCAAATAAAGAAAAGGTACATATTTGTGAGGATTGTAATGACTAGGTATAGAGACAATATATTTTTGTGTATATGCTAATTACCATAGTATCAATAGCCAATAATTGATTTCAAGGTGTTTTGCAGATGTTAAATATATGCAAACATGCAATCATTTAAAGGATTTAAAAACTCAATGGCTAAAGGTATAGAGGAAATCACATGTTCCAATTGTGATTGCTTTAGTAAATGAATAAGAGAAATATATTTTCTATGAAGCACTAAAGAGAAGGTGGTTTTGTTGTGTCAAATTAGATGATTCCTGAGAATATAACAATCTAATGAGAAAACTGCTTTTAATCCAAATTATGGGGGATTTGCTGGTTATGAAAGCACTGTGTCTTTTTTTTTTCTTTGGTTTTTCGAGACAGGGTTTCTCTGTGTAGCTTTGGAGCCTATCCTGGCACTTGATCTGGAGACCAGGCTGGCCTCGAACTCACAGAGATCCGCCTGCCTCTGCCTCCCCAGTGCTGGGATTAAGGCATGTGCCACCAACGCCCAGCTAGCACTGTGTCTTTTAAAAAGACAAGTCTTATTGCTTGTATGTAATGGCAAAAGTAACATAGTGTTAAAATTTATGAAATTTCCATGATGTAGAATTAAAATAAAGTTTACTCAATGACTACACAAAATTATTAATAAGTGCTTTTACTCTTGTATTTGATCTATTAAAGTCATTTTAGGCTTATCTAGCTCTAAGAATTCAAAAAGAAAAGAAACATTTGTTTATTAAGCATTGTGTGTATTTGTGTGTGTGAGTGTAGTATGTACATGTGAATGCATGTGTATGATATGTATGTGGGGTGTGTGAAGGGCTGTGTGCACGTGGAGGCCAGAGGTCCACAATGCATATCGTCCTTAATTGTTCTATATTTTACTTTTTTGGTTTTTCAACTCAGGGTTTCTCTGTAGCTTTGTAGACAAGGCTGGCCTCGAACTCACAGAGCTCTGCCTGTCTCTGCCTTCAGAGTGCTGGGATTAAAGGGGTGCGCCACCACCTCCTGGCTATAATTTGTTTTTGTTTTGTTTTTCCAGACAGGGTTTTTCTGTATTTCTCTGGAGCCTGTTCTGGAACTCTCTTTGTAGACCAGTCTAACTTTGAACTCACAGAGATCCACCTGCCTCTGCCTTGCAAGTATGGGATTAAAGGTGTGCTCTACCAACATCCAGTTTAGATAAAATCATTAAATTTGAAGACTATCAGTGCAGCTAACCCGGCTGACCAATGTGTGTCAGGACCCACCTGTCTGTCTCCCAAGGAATGAAGATGTAGACAAGTACTTCTGTAAGTGTCTTTCAGTTGGTGTTAGAGATCCAAACTCGGGTTTTCAAGATTATGCTACAAGAGTGTAAGTGACTGGGCTACTTTCCCAAACCGATAGAGTACTTTTTATAACCAATATTGTCACATAGAAAGTGATTTGTATGTGTATCCATCCATCTATCCACATTTCTAACCTCTGTTCCTTCAAGTTTGTGAGACAGGTTTGAAGCTCCCAGCAAAACAAGGGAGACTCTGCAGTGAGAAACCATCAAACCATCAAGGTCACCAAACCAAATTAAGAACTTGAACAAGCTGATTCCCAGACAATCTTGGGATCTTGGATGCTGATGGTTTAATTTGCAGTGAAGAACACAATACACCACAGTGGTCTTCTGAACCAGTGTCTTCTGCAACCAACTGCAGGTTTTTATTGGTAAGAATTAACAGTTCTGTTTGTACCTAGATCTACAACCTACCTAACATATAACAGGCCTTCCATAAATAAGTGCTGAACTTCAAGCAAAAATGCTGATTTACCTACACTGTAAACCCAACGGTTCCTCTTTATTCTAAAACACTAAACTGGAGCTGAGAGCTTTTATAAATAGACATAAAACCATGTGGAAAAATTTTTCCTATCCCTATATTGTTAAGTTAAACATTATCTGATATTAACTCAGCTCAAGGGGAACTTTTAGTTCAATATTTTTCTCTCTTAACAAGTGCAGTTTCCATTTTTCTTTTTTCTACACCCAAATACTTATTTCTCCAATAGTCAGGAAAATTTTGTTAATTTTTTCTCTATTTTTAAAACAAATGACAGATCCTAGTGAATCTTGTTGCTCTGTCCTATGTTCATAGTGTGCTACTATGCCTGAAATTCTGCATAAGTAAGTACATTATGATAGCAAAGGGTCATTTTTATCTTCCTAATCATATCTGTTAGGAAACATTTCAATTCAGAGTGAATGTTGCTGGAGTGTGCACAGAACAGAGTTGAGAGAGGTGGAAAGAGAGAGACAGAGACACAGAGAGAGAAAGAGAGATAAAGAGACACACACAAAGAGAGAGAGATACAGATAATAGGAAGAGAAACATATAGAGAGACACACAAACACACAGAGATTGAGAAAGAGATAGGAAGAGAGAGAGAGAGAGAGAGAGAGAGAGAGAGAGAGAGATTAAAGTGGCAGGTTCTGTATGCCTTAAGCCTCGTCAGACATATTGGAGAAAAGAATCCATTGTACTAGATTTTTTGTCCTGATATCTACAATATTTGTCTTCCCTATAGCTAGCTATCCCTGCAGGCCACTAAAATAAAGCTTCAGTTCAAGTAAAAATGATGGTAAGCCTGCCTAAGACATTTGAATCCTGACTTCCTTTGTGCTCCCCAAGTCCCCTTCTCCTCAGCCTTGTTAAACATCTTGGCAGTGGGAACAGCAGGAGCATACCACAGAGAAGACAATGGCTTCTCTCCTCTGCTTCACAAACCACCTCAATCATTTAGCAAGGTGAAAGTATCAGCCTTATAGCTTTCATGCTTGGTAATAAAAATTATAATAAAAAATAATCAGCTGGGGCTGATGTCTAAAAATGGCTTTATATCCACAATGAATGAATGGTCAGTTGTCAAACCGTGGCTTCTGGCCAATCTGGCCTCACCTCTGCTTTTGTGTGGCCTTTAAACTAGGAATGATTTTTTGTTGTTCATTTTTGTTGACTGCTTTTTAAAGGAATTAGGAAAATACAGATACAATGTGTAGCCCTGCACCTTTTACATGAACACATTTAATCTATCTTTAGTTCCAGACCTCTTTAATAGGAATTAGCATAGTTTTCTATAAAAGGTTAGACATACATTTCAAAATTTTAGTTTTTATATTAGGATATTGACCAATATAAACTTGCATATGTTGCTTTGTTTCTCTTTTAAGCCTTCAAAATGGGAAAAATGCAAAATTTAAATGATGCTGTGAACAAACAGGGCAGGCATCTATGGGACCAGTCAGCCTTAGTTTGCACACCATGAACCATCATGAGATGGTTTATCCACAAGAGAGAGTGGAAACTGAATAGAAAAATGCCTGATCATCCAAAAACCATAACTGCCTTAGTTGCATGGATTGTGACATAAACACTGGTTGAACCTGAGGACACAGTGAGGGCCTACCTCACAGTCACTAGAGAATCCTGATCAATGCAGACAGAATAGCTAAGGTGAAGCTTCCTGAAAGGTGACATATAAAGAAAAGTCTGAAGAAGCAAGAGAACCATGCAGATGTTTGCAAGATGTGCCTCCAAGACAGCAGCCTGTGAGTAACAGCACATCGCTAGTGTTTGAGGAACCACAGGTGTGTCTAGATGGAAAGAGAACATCAGGTTCTGAGCTTTGAGTGGCAACTAGATTGTATAGGATCTCACAGTCAATTGCGCTGGTTTTACCTAGACAGAACTGGGATTAGACAGGCTAGTGGTGACTTAAGTGGTGATGTGATGGAGCCCCATTGTCAAATATCACTTAGATTTACTGGAACATGAGAAAACAAAAGTATGGTGCCAGTCAGGAGATTATCACTATCACTCAAGAGAAAGATAATGGACATATGAAAGTCAAAGCCACTTGGAATATAGAATCAAGATGTTAATATCTGACGTCTCTATCCTACATTTCTGAATAGGGATAATCTTGTTGTAGAGAAGTACATTGTATTTGATGCATGAGTTTTCTGTCCTAAGTTATTTACTCATACAGAAAATGTTGATTTTTTTAAAAAATAATTTAATATCCTATATATCACATGGCATATATATGAAAGATTAATAAAATGAAAAGATAAATGTGTGGGTTCACAAGCATTATAGTAACCTCATAGTAAAGTTCCCATACTTGTGAAATGTACTGATTACCCAAATCCACACTTTAATACAGACCTCAGATAGCACAGTGTGTGTAGAATTCAGAACAACATACAGAGGTCAGTTTTCTCCTTCTACCATATGGCATCCAGGGATAGAACTAGAGTCCTCAGGCTTGGCAGGGACCACCTTTACCCACAAAGCATCCTATCAGTTCAAAGCACAGTATTGTGGGATTTTTAGTGTGATTTTTTTTTATCTTATGCCCCTGTGTGTATGTTTGTGCACCAAGGGTGTGGCAAGTGCCCATGAAGACAGAAGAGACATCAGATTCCCTGGAACTGAGTCACAGATGCTGGGACTCAAACCCTGTTCCTCTGCAACAGAAGCAAGTTCTCTTAACTACTGACCTGTCTCTGTAGTCTTCAAAGCACAGCATTTTGATGAGAGAAAAATTCAAGATCTTTAGATAATAATAAAAAACATTTATCTACAACAAACTCCTTTCTCCTTTGCTTCTTACAGTATTTACTCCTCTTCTACAATGATCCTGAGGCCTCAAGTGCAGCAGTTGTACTGTAACATATCAGTTGGCTCTAGGTTCCTCAACTTAGATGTGTGTGTGTGTGTGTGTGTGTGTGTGTGTGTGTGTGTGTGTGTGTGTGTGTGTGTAATAAAAAGAGAGGCCTGAATTTAAACGGAGGTATATGGGGGCATTAGGAGGGAGGAAAGGCATGGAGGAATGACATAAATATCCCATAATCTCAAAACATAAAATTTATTCTAAAAATGTCAGAAGTCTTTACAAGATTAGCACTTTAATATCAAGTGGTGTTAAAGAACATTGCTGTGTACTGACCTAGCTCCTGGGAACTCACCAACTCACCAACTCTGAAAAGCTAGAGAGGCTACACAGGACTTAGCTAGGCCTCTGCATGTGTGTGACAGTTGTAAAGCTTGGTCTGTATGTGGGGCTACTAATAATGGGATCAGGATCTGTCTCTAGCACTTGAGCTGACTTTTGGGAACCCATGCTGGGTTGCCTCATCCAACCTTGATGCAGCGGGGAGGATCTTGGCCCTTTGTCAACTTGATGCTTTGTTGACTCCCATGGAAGGTCTACCCCTTTCTGAATGGAGACAAAGAGGAGTGGATGTGGGGAGGGTGGTAGAAGAGAAATAGGAGGAGGGAACAGGAGCATAGGAGGGAGGGGAAACTCTGGTCAGTATGTAAAATAAATGAAAAAAAATAGTAAAAGAACTTTGCTGTGTAATTGAAATGTGTATCATGTGTCTTAGTTATGTGTAAGAATAATACAGTTAAATATAATTATCCTGCTTAACGTATATGATTCAAGGGAAATAACTATTAGCTTAGCATCTGTCTGTCTCCTTCTCCACTTCATCCTAATACATACTTGGGAAGGTATGCAAGCTTCTATGTTGAAAAAGAGACTGAATTATCTTATTATCCAAGACAAAATTACCAAGAAATATTGTCAAAGAGAACTGCCTATCACATAACATGAGAAGCCTTAGTTAGTTAGAGTGGGATAATGTATTTATTTTTTGTTAGGGATGATATAAAATTTGGATTTAACAAATGAATTATAGGCCATACCTTTGCCCAGGGAAGTGTATTTTTTCAAGATATATTAAAATATACAGTTGCATTTTCCATTGTTTCCACATGTTTCTTCAGCTTTCTGATAATTGGCCAGGCTTTCCAGCATTGTGCTATTTAATTCATCTGCACCTGTGGTGTTGAAGTCATACTGGGAAGAAAGCACGGACTTTTTAGAGATTAAGGAGTAAGAGGGATCTTTAGCAGGTTAAGGCAATTACTTAGTTTTCCTACTTGTGACAGATTTTCTTTGTCTCAAAACAACCCTCCATACAAAAGGGAAGCACATGTTTGTTTATTTTCCAGCTTAAGAAAATGACACATTTTTCCCACCCACCCACCAATTATAGTTTTTCAATTATCTATAGTATATAACATCAGGATATTTTTACTATAAATCGCTTTAAAGCATTGATTATTTATTGGTGATAGTTTTTCATTTAGGGAACCAAGACACAACACACACAAAAGAGAATTTCATACTAATTGACATTTACTCAACCATATGCATTGTTGCTCTATTCATAACAGACAGAAATTTGAAATAAGCTAGATGTCCTTCAACAGAAGAATGGACAAAGAAAATATGGTACACTCATAAAATGGAGTATTGCTCAGCCTTTAAAAATGAAATCATTAAATTGCTAGTATAGATGGAACTAGAAAAGAATCATGAGTGAGATATCTCAGATCAAGAAAGACAAATATGGTGTATATTTGTTAATATCATTTGTGAAGTTAGTCATAAACAAGCTACAGTCTATAGAACCACAGAGGTTTCGTATAGAGTAAGAGACTGGGGTGGGGTAGATAGCTCTCCCTAAGGAAGGGAAATAGAATAGTTATGGATGAATGGTAGAGAGGTTAGAACTGAATGGTAAAGTAGGTATGGGGAAAGTAGAGGAGAGATAATTAAAATTAAGAGTCATTTGAGGAGGTAATAAGGACTAATTACAGTAGAAGCTTACTAAAATATACACATATATGAAGACAATTAAAATGAAACCACCAAGAAATGGGAAAAACGGAGTCCCAGGGGGCCATATATTGTCACCAAATGAAATTTCTAGTACCCAGGTTGAGTTACATCTAACTGAGTCATTGGCCAAAGGAGACCCATGAGAATCCCTAAACAATGTAGGCTGTTGATAAGACTACAGGTTGCTCTCCACAAGCTGATGGTAAGGCCTCATTGTTGAAGATAATACCTACCCAACTCATTGAACATGGAAAAATCAAGCTAGTGCCTACGCAGGGACTTCACCCATACTTTCTAGAATTTTTGCATAGGAAAGTACCCTGTGAGCTACCAAAGAATAAACATAAACATTAATTCAGCCACAAAAACTTTGATCTACAAAGTTGCATTACCTGAAAGATGTGCTGGGGCAATGGTAGCACAAAGTGTGTTGGAAAAACCACTCAATATCTGATTTTACTTAAGGTTCACTCCACAGGATGGAACACATACCTGACATTTTTCAGGTGACCAAAACCCGAGACTGAACAGCTCAGGGACCTAGGATAACACCAAATACTACTAGTCTTAAAATAAAAGGGCAAAATAGCAATTAAATGACTCTTGATGACACTGCTACCCTGGGAGATGTGGGCTTTGCTCGGCTATCATCAGAGAAGCTTCCTCCTGCAGTAGATGGGAACAAATACAGAGAATGACAGCCAGATATTAAGCAGTGACTGAGAGAACTTGGAATATTCAGCCCTAAATAAGTCACTCACTCAGATTCAAGAAATCTTCTAGAAGAAGAGACAGAAGGGTAGAAGACACCAAGGAAACAAAGCCGTTTAATTTACCATGATCAAAACTCAGAGATTGAGGCAGTGGACTGGGTCCTCTGCATATATGTTTTGCCTTCCAGTTTAGTGTTTTTATAGGATTTCTGATTGTGCAAATGAGTGGGTCTCTTTGTCTTGTGCCTTCTCTTGGAATCCTTCCCTTATGTTTGTTTTGTTCAATTCTGTTGCTTTAGCTTTTGTTTTATCATTATATTATATAATTATGTTTTAATTATTGCTTAGAAGACTGCTGTGCAATGAGAGACATAAAGGAAGTGGATCCAGATGGAATGGGAGGTGGGGAGGAATTGGAAAGAGGAGAGGGAAGGGAAACTATAGTCAGGATATATTACGTGAGGAAAAAATCAATTTTCAATAAAAGGAATAATATAAATAATAACAAATTTTACCAAATGTTTCATATTCCTAGAGCTTTCCAGTAAACAATACCAATAGAATTTATTGTTTCCTTTCTAGTCTACTAAAGGAGCTTTCCTGTGTGAGTGATATTTAGAATTTAAAGATTTAAAAGACAGATAGATGAACAAGCACTAAAATAAAAACAAAAATGTAAACAAAGGGAAAAAATCAAAAAGAGGGGTTGTAAACCATTCATAAAATTATAATGAATGTGAAGGTATATTTAAAAATTAGTAGTGGGTCTTCTCTAAGATATGTTGTCAAAACAATTATTTTCTCCCTTCATTTACAGTAGTCTAGGCAGAAATTGGTGACAAATAATATATTCATTTTTACTCACTGGTTCATAACAGGGCTGTAGGTATGCTCCTGGATATAAAAGGTAGGTGTTAAAAGGTCAGTAACACAATCCAGAACAGCTCATTGTCCTGTTGCTTCTTGAAATTGGGAGAGAAAGAGTTCAGGATCTTAGATAAAATCTAATAGCTGGTGGTTTAAAAGTCGTTGTGCTGGTTAATATTTTATCAGTGTCACAGAGGTCATCTGGGAAGAGGGAATCACATTTGAAATAAAATATGTCTATCAAATTGGTCTGTAGTCAAGTATATAGGATATTTTCTTGATTAATTACAGATGCAAAATCTCTAGCCCACTGTAAGTGGTATCATTCCAAGACAGATGGTCTTGAGTTATATGAAAATGTTAAGCAGCCCAAGGGAGTAATCCAGTAAGCAGAATTCTTCTGTAACCGTGCTTCAGTTTCTGCCTCCAGGTTCCTGCCTTGAGCTCCTGATCTGAGTTTCCTCAATAATGGAGTATAATGCAAACTGAAATAAATCTGTTTCTTCCCAGGCTTATTTTGGAAGTACTGTTTTATCAAATTGATAGAAAGCAAACTGTGACTAAGATTTTATTTTATTTTTTTATTTAAATCACAAAGATTATTTTACATGTGGATCCTAATTCCCTCTCTCTCCCCTCCTCCCCTGCCCCCAAATTAACACCCTACCTATCCCATACCCTTTCTGCTCCCCAGGGAGGGTGAGGTTTTTCCATAGGGGGTCATCAGGGTCTGTCATATCCTTTGAGATGGGGCCTAGGCCCACCCCCTTGTGCTCAGGGAGTATCCCTCCATGTGGGATGAGCTCCCAAAGTCCATTCCTATGCTAGGGATAAGTACTGATCCACTACAAGGGGCCCCATAGATTTCCGAGGTCTCCTAACTGACACCCACATTCAAAGGGTCTGGATCTGTACCATGCTGATTTCCCAGCTATCAGTCTGGGGACCAAGAGCTCTCCCTTGTTCAGGTCAGCTGTTTCTGTGGGTTTCACCAGCCTGGTCTGGACCCCTTTGCTCATCAGTCCTCCTTCTCTGGAATGGGATTCCAGTTCAGTTCAAAGTTTAGATGTGGGTGTCTGCTTCTACTTCCACCAACTGCTGGATGAAGGCTCTAGGATGGCATATAAGTCAGTCATCAATCTCATTATCAGGAGAGGGCATTTAAGGTAGCCTCTCCTCTGTTGCTTAGATTGTTAGTTGGTGTCATCTTTGTAGCTCTCCAGACATTTCCCTAGTGCTTATATACTAATTTGTACACTACAGTGTGAATTTTCAGATGTACAGATTTCATACACTCCAACCAAGTAATTGTGATCTTTTCATTTCCATCTTAAAAATAGGAAAAGTTGTAAAGGGTGAGAAAAAGAGAGCACAATCAATAAGCACTAATTCTTCTAAAATAATGTGCATGAATTTAGAGACAATCCTGTTTTCTATTCATTTCACCATTGTGACTATCTATGATAGCTTTCCATAACAACAACCAATACCTAGTTAATTAATGTACAAAGAGAAAGAGCTTATTTTGGTCCACTGGTTTGGGTATTCCTGGGCATGGTAGGCATGTCTCAGGACTTTTCAGTCTGTAGTAAAGCTGCTTGTCAGGGTAAGAGTGGTGGATAAAGAACTGCTTAATTAAGTGGGAAGTTAAATGAGTAAGGTTGGGCCAGGTGTTGGTGGTGCATGTCTTTAATCCCACCACTGAGGAGGCAGAGGCTGGTGGATCTCTGTGAGTTCAAGGCCAGCCTTGTCTACAGAGTGAGATTTAGGGCAGCCAGGGCTACACAGAGAAACCCTGTCTTGAAAACAAAGAAAGAGAGAGAGGGAGAGAGAGAGAGAGAGAGAGAGAGAGAGAATGTGGACTAGAATCCCATAGGCCCCCAGTGACATGTGTCAAATAACTGAAATACCTGTACTGCACCCTGCCTTTCACAGGATCTACCAACTCACATTGACATCTCTCCGGATATGTCAATCTTTACTACAGGGATGTTTCATGGATACTTGGGATCTTCACTACACTAACACCAGGTCAAAATTCACTTATTATTAGACACACAACATACTTAAATATTTGAAAAAATACTTGGAAATAAAAATCATATTGTATCCACTTATTTTTTAAATAAAGAAAAGTATCTCAAAGGTACTTTTATAATGTAGGAATCCTCATTTACTCATCCATTTGGGACACGGGTGTGTGTGTGTGTGTGTGTGTGTGTGTGTGTGTGTGTGTGTGTGTGTTTCCCATGGTGCATTTCTTTGGTAGACATAAGGTAAAAGTCTTTTGCATCTCTTCTTTAAATACCAGCTTCAGCTCCGAGCCTTCAAGCTCATTAAACACCAATTCTACAAATGAGAAATTATGACAGTCTGAAAAGGAAGAGCCTAAGTGTCCTTTCAGAATGTCTCCTTTGTAACCAAGGTCTTAGTGTGGAATCACAATTACACCCAGAGCCCAAAACCATCTTCCTCAGGTGTCTTTATATAACCCTGGCCTTTCCAACTCATCCCTCTCGGACAGAGACTGAAACAACAACCCACTCTGTTTTATAAAAGCATGGATGCCATTGTAGTAACTTCCATATTCCA